TACAAGCCATGCATGGCACAGTTCCCGTTAGTTATCAAATTTAAGATATATAGTTTTGTTTATAGTAATATAGCTGGAATATATATGTCAGGAATATGATTATGATGGTTGTTTAACATTTAAATGATTGACATATCTGATCGTCAAACGAGTATTGAGAGATATTGGAACAGCATTAATTTAAACAAAATCAGCCATTTTGAGTACATGTATTATGAATTTATAAAATTTTAACATAGTCAGTCAAAGCATGTCAGACATAAGGCTCTAGAAGCCCATTCATTAAAACAAAATGGCCACTAGTCAGCCATTCTGAATCCGATCTAAAAAATAAAATAACGTGCATCAGGAACTCGTTATGTCTAATGTATGTACCAAGTTTGAACAAAATCCATCCATAAATGCCAGAAATGTTTGATATTTAATGATTTTTGAGCACAAAAATGACCACTATTTGGCCATTTTTAATAGGATCGTCAAACCAATAAATCTGTATATCTATGACATGATGTTGATCATAATCAGTCACAGCAAGTCAGAGAGATATGGCACTAGAACCACATTTATTAAAACAAAATGGCAGCCAGACGCCCATTTTGAATCTTATCTGGAAAAAAATAATGCGCATCAAGGTCCTATAATGTCCAACGTATATACCAAGTTTGAACAAAATCCATTTGTGAACAGCCGAGAAATGCTTGATTTTGATGATTTTTAGAACAAAAATGGCCGCCATTCGGCCATCTTGAATCAGATCGTGAAACAATTGATGTGTATATGTATAATATCATGTATGTGTGAAGTTCGATTGTGATTGGTCCAGTCCGGACGCATGCATGGACACACAGACACACGGAAAATATTGTTGCTATGGCAATTACAATTGTTATCATCTTGTTACAAATCTCACAGAGGTTAACCCACAGACTGTACATACATATGAAAGTGAAATTTTTACCAAAAAATACAGAAATGAAGATATCTTCACAAAATGAAAAAACCTGACAGAGGTCCTACAAGCTACCCACATATCAAGTATCAATATGTAATTGGCTAGTAGTTTTTAGGATGATGTCAAAATTAGAAATGTTGACAGACAATACGCTTACGATGACCTATTTGATGACAGCAGAGCTAACAAAATTAACAATATTCTTTCAAGATATTAACTCATGTCAAATTTAACACATTGTACCTTTTTTTTTTGTTCTTCATATATTTCACTTGGTTTCATGAATTTTATTCCCTCCTCTGACATTCGGTAATCTGCTATTTTGTAGACAACAATAAAGGTAGCAGTGCTGGCATCGAGAAACATCGTATGCGTCACATAAAACTCAGCCTGTCCAGCATAGTCCCAAACACTGAATTTAGTGCCATCTGGCAGTTTAATAGACTGCACATCAATGCCTGCCGTTGGTGTGTAGTCATCTTTACCAGGATCGGGACATCTCTCTTTGAATCGAGAAGTGATTTTAGCCTGGATCCAATCCTGTAACACAGAGACAATGTAAACAATTAATTCTAGACATATTCAAATGCATATTTCAATGCAAAAATTTGTACATACTTATATGATAAGTAACTTCCAGTTACATGTTACTTTGTATTATTCCTTATTATCAGAGCAATGCTATGAACAAAGAAAAGAAAAGATTGCAGATGATAAGTGCCATCCTGTACTGCCTAAGATCATACTTTGCAGTATTCTTGTGATCATCATTATACATTCCTGCTTGTAGTAATAATTTAGTCAAAGATCAAAAATGTTTTACATGTGATGGGATTCTATCAAGTGATATATAACGCTGCTGCATTCACTGTCAACAAAACATAGTGTTCCAATGTATCATAAAAATTTATATTGTAGTTTACACTTAACAATTAATAAGAATGTCAAATAAACTTACCCGTTGTAATGCATCTTTAAGTGTTGTCTTACCAACACCACCATGACCACACACAAACAGTTTACCAATGTCTGGCAAAATGCCTTCTTCTATCATTAATTCATGATATTCCCGTTGCTATGGAAATACAAATATATGAATAAATAAACAAGTCATATAAATTACAGGCTTATTATAAAAAAAAATCACTAATCCCACAGTAACTCATTACTCAATTTCTTTGATGTAGACACCAGTAATGCACTACTCAATCTATTTGATGTAGACACCAGTAATCCACTACTCACTCTCATTGATGTAGACACCAGTAATCCACTACTCACTCTCATTCATGTAGACACCAGTAATACACTACTCACTCTCATTCATGTAGACACCAGTAATGCACTCCTTACTCTCATTGATGTAGACACCAGTAATGCACTACTCACTCTCTTTGATGTAGACACCAGTAATCCACTACTCACTCTCTTTGATGTAGACACCAGTAATCCACTACTCACTTTCTTTGATGTAGACACCAGTAATGCACTACTCACTCTCTTTGATATAGACACCAGTAATGCACTACTCACTCTCTTTGATGTAGACACCAGTAATCCACTACTCACTCTCTTTGATGTAGACACCAGTAATCCACTACTCACTCTCTTTGATGTAGACACCAGTAATGCACTACTCACTCTCTTTGATGTAGACACCAGTAATCCACTACTTACTCCCTTTGATGTAGACACCAGTAATCCACTACTCACTCTCTTTGATGTAGACACCAGTAATCCACTACTCACTCTCTTTGATGTAGACACCAGTAATACACTACTCACTCTCATTCATGTAGACACCAGTAATGCACTCCTTACTCTCATTGATGTAGACACCAGTAATGCACTACTCACTCTCTTTGATGTAGACACCAGTAATCCACTACTCACTCTCTTTGATGTAGACACCAGTAATCCACTACTCACTCTCTTTGATGTAGACACCAGTAATGCACTACTCACTCTCTTTGATATAGACACCAGTAATGCACTACTCACTCTCATTGATGTAGACACTAGTAAGGCACTACTTACTCCCTTTGATGTAGACACCAGTAATCCACTACTCACTCTCATTGATGTAGACACTAGTAATGCACTACTCACTCTCTTTGATGTAGACACCAGTAATCCACTACTCACTCTCATTGATGTAGACACTAGTAATGCACTACTCACTCTCATTGATGTAGACACCAGTAATCCACTACTCACTCTCCACTACACATTGTAATATAAATACTGTGACTTTTACATATACCAAGTACAGAAACAATCTTTAGGTCCCAATCTAATTAGAAGTCTATGTTCTCAATAATATTAATTTTAATAATATTAATAATAATGTAACCATACTTTCTCAGCTTTCACTATGAGCTCTTCAATGTGCTTATAGTATGCAGATTTGTCTTTACTTAGACCAAACTTTGACTTGATGAGTTTCAATGGTGTTGATTTATCCTTCAGAGAGAAGATAACAAATTATCAATATCATGTAATCTTGATATCAAGTCAGGAACAAGTCCTTTATTGTGCAATTAATGATCAACAGAAATTAAATGTTGTGCATATTAGATCCAGTTGTGTAAGGGCACAGATGAAATTAACTAGAGTTGAATGGGATCTCTTTGATCAAATTCAAAATAGTCGACTGGTGGTCATTTTGTTATTAATTACTGAATGCAATTGACATTAACTAGAGTTGTATTGAATCTCTCATGTGGTTTTTACAGGAATGTACATGGCAACGAAAGAGCTTTCGGAGAAAGTCATGTACAGAAAGATAATCAGGGTGTCACATGATTGTATAGCCGTGAAGCAATGTGAATGCATTCCGGGTCTCTATTCGGACTAAGTCTTTAATCCGATTCAAGATGGCCAAATGTGGTGAGGGGGAGGGGGTCATTATAATGTTAAAAATCCATTCTGCCATTACAGAATTGAATCTCAGTTGTGTATGGATGAATTCTGTTCAAACTTGGTACATACATTGGACATGAAACCTTAATGCACAAATTGATGATCAAATTCAAAATAGCCGACTGGTGGTCATTTTGCTATTAATTACTGAGTCATACAAATGTATCTCTGAGATGCTCTCACCATTCATGTTTAAACTTTATTAGCTTATAGTATTACTGATTGTCAGCCGTCACCGTAGTCGTCAACTTTACATTTTTTACTTCTTCTTAAAAAGCACAAACTGTATAAGCTGTGAAACTTTCTAGAATGATACCTTGGGCGGTTCTCTTTCAGATTTGTTCATTTCGTGTGGATATTTTCAATTGTTTTATTTATAGCGAATATTTTTGTCATTTTGGGTCAAAAATGCTATTTTTGACTTCTTCTTGAAAACTGCTAGCCCAAATGCTTTGATACTTGGTATGTAGGTACCTTGGGTGACCTCTCTCAGATTTGTTCATTTTGTGATGATATCTGTAATTCTCTAATTTTGATGAATATTTTTGTCATTCTTGGTAAAATGTGATACTTTTGACTTCTTGTGAAAAACCGCAAGTTCGATTGCTTTTATATCACATATCTAGGTACTACATGTGGACCTCTTTCAGATTTGTTCATTTCCTGATGATATCTTTAATTCTCTAATTTTCATGAATATTTTTGTCATTTTTGGTAAAAAGTCATATTTTCGACTTCTTGTTAAAAAAACGCAGGTCCAATTGCTTTGATATTACATATCTAGGTACTACATTTGGTCCTTTCTCAGGTTTGTTCATTTTGTGATGATATCTTTAATTCTCTAATTTTCATGAATATTTTTGTCATTTTTGGTAAAAAGTGATATTTTCGACTTCTTGTCTGATGTGGACACCAGTAATGCACTACTCACTCTCTTTGATGTAGACACAAGTAATGCACTACTCACTCTCATTGATGTAGACACAAGTAATACACTACTCACTCTCATTTAATGTAATCAACTATTTTGAATGAGAAGCATCAAACATTAAGGTTCTTTTATGTTCCCTTATGTTCAATGCATGTACCAAGTCTTAAAGAAAGGTATCCATGCATTACCCAGATCCAATGTTGAAGTGCTAAAAATACTTTATTGTAAAGCATTTTTAGCACTTAAATGGTGGCTGTTGAGCATCATGAACTGAATCAGGAAATAAATGCAGCTGTATACAGCCAGTATTTTAAAAGTTATTATGATTGATGTAATTGACAGAAAGGTTATAAAAGTTCTTATTAGATGCCAGAATTATTTTACATAACCTGTGCAGGTCAGTTCAACATTCTATATTTGAGATGGATAATACGTTATAACCTTTGTCAACATAGTGAGGCAAAACACACTCAAATTATGTTGTAATTTAGATCTCAGGTAAAATAGATGCACATCAAATATGAAGCATGAATGTGAAATTAGTGACAGTCTAAGCTAATAGTCACCTTATTTATACAGTCAATACGAATATTCTCATCCAAGAGTAACTGAACAATTTGCATTGCCTCATTTCTTTGTTTCTGTATTTCAACTTGAGAAACATTGTCACTGATATCAAATCTGAGAATTGCAAACAATGCATTCTCATTATTCTGAAAAAAACAAACAATTGTAACAATATTACCGGTAATAGTGGCTTGGCACATATATATCCATGTGTTAATGATATCAAGTTACATAAATGACTGCAAGTCTCACAAAGGTTATACATGTATCTCATTGTGCTAGACATTTTGATAAAGAAATTATGAAAATATATACTTCTCAGTATCTAGAGTGATGCCTCTCTAAATTGTGGGTGTCAGGATCCAGTCAAAACTGTGACTTACTGGTATTAATGGTGACTCATCAAGAGGCCTTCTTAAAATGAATTTAAAATAGATTTACATACATTTATAAATACACACATGGTTTTATTTATAGTATGTTTTTGTGGATTATTCACATTGCAATGAGTTTTAGAAAGTTTTAGCAACGCAGTATTGGCTAAGAAACCCATAAAGATGAGTTGACACATGTATTACTAATTGATAAGGCAAAGGGTGTCAGATGCTGATGACATCACCATGGTTTGAAAAACAGTGATACTGATTGTTTCAACTCAATTCTGCAGCAATTGTAATTTATTAACTATTTTGATTTCATGATACAAACCATAATAGAAATTTGTGGGTATCCATCCCTAATTTGAATTTAATGCAAGTATATACCTCATTGAGTAAATTAACATTGGCCTTTCTGTCTCTCAACGTTTTATCCAGTAATAATTCACAACACTGTAGACTTCCTCTTCTTGCAGCTGTGTATAACGGTGATACTCGCACCTACAAAGTATAGTGACAAATATGGTGATACTACAAAGTATAGTGACAAATATGGTGATACTACAAAGTATAGTGACAAATATGGTGATACTACAAAGTATAGTGATAAATATGGTGATACTACAAAGTATAGTGACAAATATGGTGATACTACAAAGTATAGTGACAAATATGGTGATACTACAAAGTATAATAACAAATATGGTGATACTACAAAGTATAGTGACAAATATGGTGATACTACAAAGTATAGTAACAAATATGGTGATATTACAAAGTATAGTGATAAATATGGTGATACTACAAAGTATAGTGACAAATAATGTGATATTACAAAGTATAGTGACAAATATGGTGATACTACAAAGTATAGTGACAAATAATGTGATATTACAAAGTATAGTGACAAATATGGTGATACTACAAAGTATAGTAACAAATATTGTGATACTACAAAGTATAGTGACAAATAATGTGATATTACAAAGTATAGTGACAAATATGGTGATACTACAAAGTATAGTGACAAATATTGTGATACTACAAAGTATAGTGACAAATATTGTGATACTACAAAGTATAGTGACAAATAATGTGATATTACAAAGTATAGTAACAAATAATGTGATATTACAAAGTATAGTAACAAATAATGTGATATTACAAAGTATAGTAACAAATAATGTGATATTACAAAGTATAGTGAACAAATATGGTGATACTTACAAAGTATAGTGACAAATATGGTGATATTACAAAGTATAGTGACAAATATGGTGATACTACAAAGTATAGGTGATAAATATGGTGATATTACAAAGTATAGTGACAAATATGGTGATACTTACAAAGTATAGTGAACAAATA